GCGTGGTGCCACCTGGTCACAGCGCAGAGCACCAGGCCACGCTCCAGGAGGGCAGCACCGCTCGCCACGGCACCCTGCTTGTCAGCAAAGCGCCGAGAACATCCCAGAGGCTGAGGAGAGGGCAGACGAGCAGAGGGGCCGCTGGGGGGGAACACAGCAGGTACAGCCAGGTCCCCCCCACTGCGGGCATGAACAGCACAGAGCCACAAAGGCGAGCAGCAGACGGAGGTGCCCAGCAGGACGCATTCCCATGATGCTTGAAGATGTCTGTCCACGGGCTTATGGATGGTCACACACGTAAAAACATAAATCACACAAACGTGCAACAAAAATATAAACATCAGCACACGTGTTCACATGCAGCAACAGAAGTGTGCATGCGTGTGTGACAGCAGGACAGGTGTAAAAGGAATGACAGGCACTAATTGGAGACGGTGTGTGGTGGGGGAGCAGGACAGGGGTTCAGGATGGGGTAGACAGGGGCAGCGGCATGTCCGTGCTGCTTTTCTGAACAGGACACACAAGGCAAACACGGGAAAACGGAGACCTCACAGCGGAGGGGTGGGTCTGACTTCTCGCAGCTTTGTACACTTTTCTGGATGCTTATTCTTCAATAAAATAAAATAAAAGGTAATTACAGCTGCCATCAATCATCTAAGACGGTAGGATTACCAAGCCCATTTTGTTGGCACTACAGCTGGACACACGTCCTCAGTGGGCACCTTCCCACCAACGCCGTGAAGACACCAGGAGCCCGGAGACTCAGGCAGAGAGGCTGCGGAGGAATGGGGGGGCTGGCCGTCTGGCCCCGGACTCCACGCTGTCCAAGGGTGGCTCCAAACAGACGCGTGACAATGGCCACCTGGGCCTCAGACCAAAGAGCTACCACCAGGAAAGACAAGGCACCCTGCACTGGGGGCAGTGGGAGTGGGGAGTCAGGCGGCGGCTCCCCGCGGGCCGGGCGGGGACTGCCTTTGCCTGGAGATGGGGCGGCTTCTCTTTTGCTCTCCACACAGCAAGGGGAGTTCTGGGAACGGCCTGAAGAGCAACACTGAGGTTGGAGGGTCTTTGAGCGGCTGACGGCTGACTGATGACCACCCCTCCGACCACAAAGGGGGCTGTGTGGCCACGGCATCACATCGCCTCTCCCTGGGAAACTAATTGCTCTCAATTGTTCCCAGCAACATTATTTTTCTGGCAATCATTTCCTCTGAATGCCCAAAATGAGCATGAAACAACTCTTTTGACCGGACATAAAAGTTAAATGTCCCAATGTTGATCAAATTAACTTCAGCGCTGTGACAATGGACTATATTTGTGAGAAAATAATGGGGGGTACAAAGGGGCACTTTATGCCGAGATTTCACAGTTGTAATGTAAAAATGTTTCTGTTGAACTAGGCCAGGCCACATTTCAAAGGGGAGACAGAGAGCCCTGTCACTTGTGGAAAAAAATCTCATTTCACGGCCCAAAGCTCAGGAGGCTTCGGGAAGTGTCAGCGTTTGGCGCCTCAGGAAGGACTGTGCGAGCTGAGGCCTCTGCTTCTGGTTTAATCCCCAAATGCTCCCCAAAGAGCTTAACTGTGTGTCACAGGGTGCCACCTGCACCCACGGCCCGCAGAGGGTCTGAGCACCAGCTCCTGGGGCAGGGGGACCCCGAGCCTGCATCTCCCAAACCCCGTGCACCGCTCACCTCCCAGTCTCTCAGCTTGACACTCTTCATTAACTAGGGTTTGTCTTCTTTTTTTAACCTCTCATAACAAGAGATTAAAAGCAAAAAATTCATAAGTTGCACAAAAAAAATAAAGATTATTATTTGTAATAAAAACCCAAAGGAACCAGTGGCTGCAGTTTATTGACAGTGACACTCTCATCTTCTGGTGTCTCAAGTCTATGCCCTTCCAGGCAGGCCCATGCTGGGGAAGGCTCCCCGGCTATGGCTGCGGGCAGGAGGGCACCCCTGCCAGGTCATGGAGACGCACGCTGTCCCTGACGGCCGTGGTGCTGGGTGCTCTGTGTCACTCGCAGCTGGTGCCACCGGAAGGTTGAACCCCAAGGAGTGCCCACACTTCAGACAAGGAGGGTGTGTCTCTCCAGGGTTTTTAATGAAGTTTCTATTTTGGAATCATCTCAGATTTGTAGAAAAGTTGCACACACAGCTCTGGGTGCCTCTCAGTTCTTGCACAGGGTTCCCCCAACCAGCCCCCAGGGACGAGGACTTCAGGCTGATGCTCTGCCCTTCCCCGGGCCTGAGGCCACACGCTCCGACAGAAACATGGCCCTAGAAGCTTTACAAGGAGCCGGAGCCGGGAAAGGCAGCTCCCCTCTCAGGAGCTCCTGGCCATCCCCTGCTTCCGCGTGGAGCCCAGCAGACAAAGCTCGCAGAGGTTCCCAACGCCGTGAATGGGGCACTGTTGGTGGCGGCGTCCATTGAAAGGGCCGGCGTGGCATTGTCCTCCCAATCGGCAGAGCAGAATGCAGTCTGATGGTGGCTGCCAAAAGGTTAGCAGCCCGGATGAAAGGGCGGCCCGGTACTCACGGCCCCCACAGAGCTGCCCTTTGTGCGGTGCCGGCCCTGCGCAGCGGAGGTCCGGATCTGTGGCTGGCTGAGCTCCCACAGCAGCGCTTCATGGGAACGGGAAGCCGCAGGAGCGTGCCCTAGACCCAAAGGCTGCTTTCCCGGAGGCCGTGGAGGAACAGCAGTTTGGGGCAATGACACATTTTAATGCTACGCCCGCTGCCAACCTGACCAGCTTATTCATGGATCCATCTCAGCCCATGCTCCGCGGGAGGTCCCAGCGAGAGAGGGACCCGTCAGACTGCAAGACCGCACAGGGCCATGACCTGGACTAGGTCCTTGCTCCCGGGCCGCTGGCTCGCTGTCTGCCCACAGTGCCCCAGCCAAGCAGCCCCCAGGGAGGCCAGCCCTCAGCTGCTGCCAGGCGACCCCTCACAGGAGGATGACTTCTTCGCCTCCTGCGGATGGAGACACTGTGTTCCTGGCCAGGTGCCGTCAGGCCAGTGCCCACCTGAGTGTTTGAACCTGCTCAGGGCAGGGCTGGCCTTTTCGACTCCAGGGGCCTCAGCACAGATGGGGTGATGCTGGGCCTGCATGCTGGATGTACTCCAAAGCAGGTCTGGATGAGAACGGAAGATCAAGGACTAGTGGATGAGCTGGCTGAAGGCTGAGACACCCCAGCACTGGGACACGGGGAGCCCCCTGTCACGGGCAGTCGTGAGTCAGCACGCTGAGACACAGGGAGATGGGGAGCCCCTTGTCATGGGCAGTCGTGGGTCAGCATGCTGTGGGACAGTACCGGGCCTCACCCAGTGCTGGGCCGAGAGCTCAGGTTCAGGTTCAGGTCCACTCTGGCCCTCCATCGCCTCAGTGTTAGTCCCACCTCTGAGCCCAGCTCAGTCTGAGCCCGGGAAGCCAATAGGGCCCCTGAAGAGTGCCCAACTGCGCTCAGGCTAAAGGGCCAGGCTCTCAGTGTGCAGGAGTACCAACAGACGCACCAGACCCCCATGTCCCACACTCACGGTCCCTCTGCGTGGACCTGGCAGGCGGCCGCAGGTGACAGGGTGCTCGGACAGGATGAGGGACCTGATCTCAGGGTCCCTGGAGGTGACCTGATGACCACCGTGATACATCTGGCTAATGTGAGCACAGGGATGAGACTCCTTGTCCAGAGCACATCCCTGTGGAGCCTGGTGGGAATCCAGATGGAATGTGCACGCAGCAGGTAAGGGGCCCACGCAGGCCATGGCCAAGGCTGAACTGCACTGAGCCGTACTACGGCCAGGCCCAAAGCCCAGGGATCCTGGGTACAGGCAGGAGGGGTCAGAGGTCAGAGTCCTAGAAGGAGGACCAGAAAGAGGCTGGCTCATAACACGGGGCTGAGAAGCCAGGCAGCCACAGTCCTTGGCGCATTTACGTGGACACACAACTTGGCGTCCTGGTGTGTGGGGGCAGAGGCCAGGGTGGGGGTTCCTGGAGAAATCTGAGATCACCTAGGCAGAAATGGGAAGACATCCATCCTGCAGTAACAGCTGTCCTAAGCACAAGCGGGTCATCGATGGTCACTTAGGCCACAGGACACTGGTGGGAGAGGACTTCAATTTGAGGACTAAGCACAACAAGCAGACCTAGGCTACTACGCTGAGCTTTAACAAAAGGCCCGTGCAGAAATCAAGAGGGACGCGGGTCCCCAGACCAAAGAGATCCTACTACTGGGGGTGCGAGGGGCTGCCTTTCTTCCCCAGATGACAGCCCATCAGCTCTGACCCCTATGACAGTCACATGAGGATGTCACAGATGATGGCAGGTCCCATAGGACTCAGGGCAGAAGGGTCCTGAAAACCAGCTGTGAGAGGGAAGCAAGCAGCAGCGATGGAGGAAGGGGAGGCCAGCAGGAAGCCTAGGCAGGAAGCACAAGTGGTTTCCCCACTCTGAAGACCACCGACATCCCTGCCCTGCCCCGGCGCCCCGCCAGCAGCCAAAGGCCTGGCTGGACTGTGGAAGAGCAGGGCCAGGAGGGAGGTGGCGCTCAGCCCAGCTGGGCCACACGGGCTTCGCTGAGCTGACCCTGCAAAGCCAGGGCCACTCCAAGGTGCTCAGAGCCGAGCCCGGCAGGGGTGGTGGGCTAGAGCCCTGGGAAGGCACCGGCCGTGACCAGCAGAACCCCGTGGAGCATACACTTCTCGGTCCACAGCCAAAACGCGGACATCAGGCTCCAAGACGCTTCAGCTGACATCTATGTTCTGCCGCGGCTCAGGGGAACTTTCTTGTTTTTCCCACAGAACAGAAGACAAGTGGGGTGCCCACCTTGGGTCTGTGAGGTAGAGCCCTTCGGGCCTTGGGACGGGGGTCGGGACTTGTGCCGTATCAATGGGCAACATTTGCAGTTTCATAGTTTTGGCAAATAGGAAAAAACAGATGAGGAAAAGTGGCCCAGAGCGGAGCTGCGAGCCCCATGGAGGAGCCGGCCGCCCGGCACCCACCTGTCGAGCACGTAGCCCAGCGCCTTGTGCCGGATCCCCGAGTACACGGACGGGCTTGTCTCCCATGCAACCAGATTGGAAGCGTCGTGGAACAGGTGGATGTTCACCAGGTCGAAGGCGCTGCGGAGACAGAGAAGGAGGCTCAGCAACAGGGCGATGCCACCGGCCCCCTGGTGCAGCTGCTCCCATGCTGCTCCTGCCCGGGCTCCCCAGGGGCCCCAGGGCTAGTGGCGGGCAGGGTGGCCTGCACCCTGTGTTCCTGCCCTCCACAGCCACTCCAGGCTGACCCAGAGTATGTCCTCCTACCTGGTCAGAGGAGGACACATGGGACCTTAAGTGTAAGTCTTTAAACCTCTTTGCAAATGCAGTTACTCTGGCCAACTGAAAAGGGAGCTATTTCTTGTTAAAGGAAATGACCTACACACAATCATGGAAACTTTCCTCAAGCTGTTGGCCAAACCAGGAGGAGGAGGAGGAAAGAGGAGGAGGAAAGAGGAAGAGGAAGAGGAGGGAAAAGCAAGAGAAGGAGAAGGGAGGAGGAAAAGGAAGAGGAGGGAAGAGGAGGATAAGGAGGGAAGACGAGGAGGAAGAGGGAAGAGCAAGAGGAGGAAAAGGGAAGAGGAGGGGGAGAAAAGAAGAGGATGAGGAGGAGGAGGAAAGAGGAAGAGAGGAGCAGGAGGAAGCTGCCTCTCCAGGCCTGAGCTCCCTCCAAGGTCAGCTGGTGGCTCGGCCCAAGCAGCCCAGTGCCTGTCAGCAGCTCACTGTAGGGACCCCTGTGACGTGGGGGTGGGGGGCACTAAGTGGTTCATCTCACTCAAGAAGCCCCAGCTCACAGCCCGGAGCAAACCCTCTGGGAAACCCCGGCAGCCTTGCTGTGTGTCTCCGCATCTGCAGGAACAGGGTGAGGCTGGAATTCAGCCATCAGTCTGTCTACACCCCGGAGAGACCCTTGCACGACTGAGGACGTGTCTGCCTCACACTGAGGACGGTGCAGTGATGCGAGCACGCCACGGTGATCCACAGAGCCGGGACCACCGGGCCCCAAGAGCCAGCGGACCTGTGCACTGACAACAGCCATCTCCTCAGGGTGACAGTAAAGAAGAGGACTCCCCTCCTATGACCCCAGGACCCCAGCAACCCCGCCTCCTCAGGTCCACCCCCGTGTGGCCCCTCCCATACTGTGCCAAGGTGTGACCAATTGCAAAAGGTGGACGCAGTGGCCCAGCACTCCCTGGATTAGGGACGAAGACAGTGGCTCTGTCTGGGCTCCCTGGCCCCGCCTGGGGAGAGCCCCAACCTGAGTGGGCCCAGGACGGGGCTGCTGCCGGCCCTGCTGCTCCTGCCCCCTGGGCATCCCCAGGCTGGAGAGTTGTTGGCTGATGCTGGAACCCTGATGGGGGCACTCCAGTCCTGGCGGGTGCTTCAGAGCCTGCCAACAGCCCCCAGCTGTCCCCTGCATGGCCATCAGGCACCCAATAGGGTCCACATCCCCAACCTGGACAAGCCCATCAGCCAGCATGAGGCCCTTCCCCAGGTCCTGCTTATGGTGGCACACGCCCGCCCTCAGAGCCCCTGTACCCTCAGTCCTGCCAGCTGCTCCCAGGTGGCAGGGTGCACGCTCGGGGAGACGCGTGGCCTTCAGTGCGTCAGGAGAGCGGATAACAAGCCTCCTCTCACGGTAGAAAGGGTGGGGCTCATGCCTCAGAGAGGGCCACGCCTGCGGTCCCCAAGCTGGAGGGTCCACTTCACCTGTGCTCAAGCGCCCACCAGGACGTGCTGCTGGACCAATCACACCACCGCACGGGGCCACGGTGGGACCACCAGAGGCGGGGCTGCCAGGAGCAGCAGTGGCTGGCAGTGCGGGTGCTCAGCCTCACGCCGACAGGAGGAGCAGCATGGCCTTCGGTGGGGAGCCTAGATGCTGCACTCACAGGGCCAGGCGACAATACTCCGTGTCACACAGCATCACCGAGAACAAAAAGGGTCAAAGGGCACGGGTTCGGGTTGCAGCCTCTGCTGGGACGCTCGCCACACACCACTTGTGCAAAACACAAAAGGAGGAGATGTCCTGAGAGTTGACAGAGGGAGATGGTCGAGACAGTCACATACCAGTCCGCGACACACCATCTTGTCCGGACAAAGCCTTTTCTGGACCACTTGCACTGAAAAATAAAGAGGTTACACAAATAAATTGGCTTACGAGTGGAAGGAGAGGGACACACGTAACACACACGATCAGGGGCCACATGTGACGCATCTACAGTCAGAGGAAAACGACGTCAGCCTCTCAGCACCGAGACGCTCGCTGTGACGCAGAGCTCCATGGGCACGAGCTCGCCAGGGCCACGGGCAGTGTGGGTAGGAAAGGGACAAGAAACAGCACCACCCCGCCCTCGAGAGAAGCCGCAAGGAAACCGCCATCAGCACAGGCACGCGAGGAGCGCCTCCAGAGGAAATCAGGATGCGCGCGCTGGCCGCCCCACACAAGCCTGAGCGGCAGCATCCACAGAGACGTCCTGGATGGCGGGCGAGCTGGCGAGGGACAGGAAGTCTGAGGCTGCAGAGACGTGAGCGGGCCTGCCAGGAAGGCCCTTCCTCGAGAGCGGCTACGGGAGCGAGGGGCTTGGCACAGCTCTGCGCCTGCGATGCTGATTCTAGAGAGCTGAGCCGCGGCAGACGGGACAGTGCGGAGCCTGTAGACAGAGGAGGGGCAAACCAGAGACCCAGTGACTGCTGCCGCCACACTCGCCTACCCCTGAGAATAACCTTTGTCTAGAATCCGCACTCTTCTCTTGCTGGTCTGTGACCCGGGGACCAAAGGAGACAGGCAGGGAGGGCACGGGGGGCAGGAGTCACACCTGCGCCTCTCCCACAGCTCTGGCCAGAGGCCGACTGGGCTGGCTACTGCCACGTCCAGCATCGATGACCAGCGACCATCTCACACACTCATGCCCACGCTGGGCAGGGAAGGAGGCTGGGCTGTAGCTGTGATGATGGAAATGTTCTGTGTCACGCTGCCCAATACGGGAGCCACTAGCCATCCAGGGCCACCGAGCACTGGAAGTGTGTGACTGAAGAGCCAAATGCTGCAATGTTATCTTGCGCAATTTTAATTTAAATAGCCACACTGAACACGGGAGCATCACAGCCTAAGCAGTTTGGGGAGTGAGCTCCTCCCCTCTTGCAAACCCCCAGGAGGCAGTGGGAGACCCTCCTGAATCCCCAATCACAAAGACCATGGTGCAAACCCTTCAGCAAACTGGATGAAAATGTCCTGTTTCCCCTCGAATGTCAGCCACCAGGGCAGGGCGTCTACTGTCCCTGGTATTGCCAGCAGGAGCATGGGCCTGGCACACGGTCCTCAGGACAGTGGAGGGAGGAGGGGATGCACCTGCGGGGACTCGGGCGTCCTGCAGGACAGGCAGTGGCAGCAGAGGGCGAGGACTCTGTCCTCCCGTGGGCCTGGATTTGCACGCTGCAGCAAAGAGCTCCCTGTGTGAGAGGAGGGCCCCGAGAATGGGACTGCAGACAGCCCAGCGAGAGCCCTTCCTTTCTGCAGACAACCCAGCTGCTAAAGGCTCTCCCTCACCCACAGCCCCATCAGCTACCGTCCGTTTACACTTTAAGCCCCAACAACCGAGCTGCACAGGCCACCTTCGAGTTTCCACGCGCTCAGCCTCACAGCACCCCATTCTGGATTCCAACCGTCTGCCCAGAGTGCTCTCTGCACGACCCTGCACCTCCGCGTGCAAACCCGGCACCTGCTTTCCCTCTCGCCTGGCTCTCGCCGCGACCCCAGCAGCCCTCTGTCCTGTAGACGCGCCTGTCCAGCCCTGACAAGCTGTCTTTTCCAGGTCCCCTTCCCACCATAGGGCCCTTCTCAGCCCTCCGTTTCTCAGCCCTCCGTTGCAGCTCGCAGTGCTGGGATCCCAGGCACTAGCCTTCTTCAGGCTCCCTCCCCAGGCCCCTCCAGTCTGAGGAGGGAGACACAGCCGCTGCTTTCCTGCTGATGACTCCACTTGCCATCTCCCTTTCAGGGCTCTGAGTCATCCCGCTGGCCGCAGCGCCACCGAGGCTGGCGACGTCCCGTGGCCAACCCTTCCCCATGCATGTTTCGCTGGTGACTTAGGTGTTTCTCTTCAGCCAGTGATCGGAACTCCCTGCGCTCGAGGCTTGAGTTGGCTTCATATCCTGCTCAGGACTCAGTCTGAGAACTCAGGGCTTTAGTTCTGGAAAAATGTCCCCTCTCACCTTTTCCAATATTTCTGCCCATTGTCTCTTTCTGGAATTTCTTTTGGATAAGTATGGAGCCTCTCAAGGGGCCTTCAGGCTGCTCTTTTCCATAAGGGCAAAAATAAAAACCTAAAAGCCACCAAGCAAACAGAAACCACTGCCTCTCTTGGCTGTGCTCTAGACAAACCCTCACCACCACCTCTGGATCACCAGCTCCTCCTCGGCCACGTGTGGTTTGGAATCTACTCTGCTAGTTTTAGTCACTGTGCTTCTAGACACTCTTTTTCTTATTCCTTGTTTTTGCTTTGCTTCTGTTTTGTTTAATAACACCTTCTTTTTAATTAACGTCATCCTTTTATTTATCTCTTTGAGCATCCTAAACATACTTATTCTAACTCTTGGTCAACTTGTTCCGCAGAATTACTTTCACGGGGAGTAAACTGGTGTCTGGGTCGTGGGTCTCACAGGCCTTTCTGGTCTGCAGCCTCCTGTGGAGCCAGGGCCCACCTCTCCACCTCGCAGCTCTGCGGCTGCCCTGGACCCCGACCAGGAAGCAGTGGAGACTGGGGCCCTGCTCCCTGGTGACACTGAGGAGGTCGCAGACGCAAACTCGCCGCCCGCAGCAGAGCCGGCCTTTCTCCTCTCGCCCTGAGCCCCAGGGGAGCGCCCTTTCCAACACTGCCTGTTTTCAGAGTGGCCTTAGGTTTACCTAGAGTCCCCACGTGCTCCCCAGCAGACACAGAGCAGGCACCTTTTCCTCCAGCTCCACTCAGCTTCACACCATGAGCTGGCTCTGGTTCCCAGCCTGCAACTCCCTCAGTGCTCCAGCTGCACTGCCCGCTGGGAGGACAGGCACCGTGCGAAAGACCCTGGACACTCACTGAGGTGTCACCAATTCATCTGTCACTAGATAGGCGGCCTGACCACTGCAGGGCACGAGCGTGTAGTGGACCTGTCTGCCATTGCTTGAGACATTCAACTCTTGCGCCAAATATCTGGGAGGCATTTGCCCATAGAATGTTCTTATTCATTCCACGTAACTGGGTCTGTGATGAAGTCAGCTAAGACAGCGCAGAGCTGGGGCTACTGAGGCCCCTTTGGTGCCCTGGCCGGGACGCTGAGCCAATGCTCGGAAAGTCCCCACGCAGAAACCTCTCCCCTTCAAGCACCCTGATTCCAGACAGTTGCCTTGCCGCTTCCGTCCAGCATGCCCTTCCTCCACCTTCCACACATCCGAATCCAGCCCTCTCCCCAAGAACTCTTCCCACCACGCCCCGGCCAGGACACTCTCTCAACTCCCTCTCTTCATGTGGCCTCCAACTGGGCCTGAAAGGACGTCTCCCATTGGCGTTCAAGCTCCAAGGACAGGGGCCTGGCCTTCCTCTGCAGCAGCAAGGAACGGAGCTGGGACTGCCCGGGTCCGACGGAGTCCCAGCCGTGGGCCTCGGACAAGACAAGTACTCTAAGCTGCGGGTTCTGCCCATGTCCAGTGCAGGTGAGAACAGAGCCCAGGATAGCAGGCTGCTGGCCGAGGAGCTCCCCAAGCTTGGGGGCTGAGTGCAGCACCCATGTGGCCCGTGAACACCAGCCCGTGTGCTTAACGGAGCGCTCCAGCAGCAGAGCCACGGCCCGTGCCGGGGCTGTGGTGCCGACGTCATCCTAGCGCCAGATACGCTGAGCGTGTCCAGTTCTCACGCCAGCCCATGGGGTGGGCACCACTGCCCATTTTACAGACCAGGAAACTGAGGCCCAGAGGTTGAGAACGGTGCCCGAGGTCACACGGTAGGTGAGCGGTGGAGCTGGAGTCAGGTCTCAGTCCCTGAGCCCCAGAGCCTGAACTCTCACCCCTGCCCCCACCCCACCCAGGCCACAGTGGGAGCCAGAGGGGACATGAGACTGGGGATAAACTCATTGTAACCTGGTAAGGCCAACCTCTCTTCCTAGAGCCAGAGCAGGAGGCACATCTTTCCAGAAGAGAAAGACAGCCACCTCGCCTTGTGGGGAAGGGGGTCTCGATGCGCACCGCCCAGCTGGCAGGCCTCTCCTTGGCCCCTCCCAGAGCACCAGCAACACATCCTCCATCCCACACCCTGTCCTTCCGTCCACGGGTGGGAAGTGGCTCCACGACCCTGGTACCTGGGTGCACACTCGGAAACGAGCAGCGGCAGCACGCAGCAGCCCTGACTCAGAGTGGCCCAACTTCTGTGCTGGTGGCGAGCCCTCCGGAGGCGGCGCGGCAGAAGCTGCGTGTGCACAGGGCCCAGGCTGACTCCCTGGAACAACCTACATGAAGACTCTCTGACACACAGGGCACGAGATCCGAGGTCAGACCAGCACCGAGAGAGGGCCGGGGAGGGCCAAGCGCACCGCGGGCAGTCAGCCACGTGCACAGGCACCATCGACGACGACCCAGAGAGCCTGATGGTCTCTGCTCCAGCCGCACAGAGGCCGTGAGGGGAGCGCTGGGTGGCAGGACCCACTCCTCCGGAGAAACGGGCAGGTTCCAGGGCAGTAGGTGCCCTGTGCAGTCGAGGACCCCCCTCCTCCCCCATGCAGGATGTGTGGACTCAGCAGCAACCCTGGGAGCTGTTCCTGATCAGCGCTGACCCTCTGCCAGCTCCCCCCTCCCCAGGAGAGGCCCTGCACCAAGGGGCTCGAGCTGGCTGCTCCTCCTCCTTGCTCTCTCCTCCTCCCCTTCCTCCTCTTCTCCCTCCTCCCCCCTCTAACTCTGGACTCTAAGCCGGGACACCTGAGGAACACACCTCCAGGGCCTGGTCATTCGGCCCTGCCCCAGGCCCTTCTGCATCACGAGAGCGCCTTCAAGGTGCCCACCACTCGGGACCCCTCCTTTGGCGAGGCCAGTTCTTGGAGGAAGGATTTTTTTGCTCCTTCGTCTCAGAAACTAAGGTTTCCATGACTCTCCTAGGCG